AATCATGCACATGGAGTTCATGACACTATCCCTCTGTGTATGTGTCTGTCGCGAAAGTGTAAGACTAGCCGAAATAACAGTGGAATGTAGATTCACCAAGTGGCACTGGGGTCGATCTAATTAGGTAGGGAGGCTCACAATGTGGCCAAATGCGCTACGTTGACGTGGAATGCTGGTTTGTGATGTTGGTGGTTAGAGGCGGAGTCAGTAAACCGTAAAGAGGTGAGAAAATCCTGTGGGCCTTCAGCAGCAAAGGACTGATCAAATGTAACTTTCCGCAGGCCCATTTCCATCCCTTCCTGGAAGACTAGGGCTAGGCGATACTGCATAGGTGAGTAAGCGCAAATTAGTGCTAGCGCCAAATAGATCATATGGTCCCGTTATTAGAATATCAAAACACCGCTAAGGCTGCGTTTATAGTTCGCGACTCCAGACAATAGGATCAAAGAAAACGATATGTACTGACTGGGAGAATAGGATAGTAGTGAATTAGAGAGTAGGAGATTAGGATGTGCTGACAAGATTAGATATGTATTGATCTATTCGCTTGAAGTCGCCCAATCTACTACTCTCCAGCGATTTCAATCGATACGTATCCAATCTTGTCAGCGCAATCTCCTACTCTACTACTATCCTAATATCCTATCGCCTACTATCCTAATCTCCCGAGTCGCGAACTATGAACGCGACCCTCCAAGCAAACTTCCTCCAAATATTCCGTGGTAATGATCGTCGAACGATACCCACTAATATGACGTGTTTGGTATGTGCTACAACTGTGTGCGAAATTCTAATACGACCATACTAAAATATGATTCATTGATGAATGTCCCTAGCATTAAAAATAGAAATTTCCTTTCAGGTGTCTCGAATATTAGAGTAGCCTCTGAATTGTAAAGCGATATTAATTTGCGTTTTCACGACGTCATTCATCAGTTGTTATCATGGCAACGAGATACTGAAACCCTTGGCAGGCGGGCGAGACAGGGCAATGGTGAGTTTCATTGTAATGGACCGTGTGCAAATTCACTACGAATGCTTTTGTTTTTGAGAAATCTAGAGCCACCAATGATTATTTAGCGAGTTGTCTCTATGGAAGTTCTCAAAAAACACTTAAAGGAAGCGATTACGATAAGGAATTTTCGCATCGGGGGAGAACCTGCGCCACACGGAGCAATTACTTGGCTGCCAAGGAAGCGATGTGTGGCCCTCCCACGGCGAAAGGTGCTGTGGTTGCTGAGCAGGACCCGCGTGACGCCCGCCCCCAGTGACGTGACGCCCACTAGTTTTGTTGATGATCTGGATGGACTGTTTGCTGTTGGCTTTTCATTTTGGATGATCATTTCCCTTCTAGCGGCTGTATCTTCCAACTTGCCCACGTATTGCCTTATCAATCAAAACACTATGCTTGTTGGCATGATGGCGGCTATCGGGGTTAACACGAACAACGTCGTTCTTTACCGTCGCTCATCCATGGTCGAAAATGAAAGGGCAATCAAAGGGGTACTATTTTGCTTATTTTTGACGGATTTCTTTGCTTTTTTCGCCATTGGCGTACTATTGAGACCCCCACGTCCCCTCTAAACCCCTTGAGATCTATCGTAATCGCTTCCTTTAACCAATCGACAGAAGTCTCTAACAAAAGGGGTCTTTCAGGGCAAGCCACGCTTTTTCAAAACGGTTTCTTGCATAGTGTAGGGACACTTGTAGGGAGCACAGATCTATGTTTGGCTTTCACTGAAAGGTTTGAACCAAAATAGAAGTGTAAGGTGCTGTTGTTGGTGATCCATCGCGGCGACTTGGCGCCCAGATTGGCGCCAAAAGGCGCTAAATGTGTCATATGTCATATTCATGGTCAGGACCATTTTGAAGCCAACAAGTGGCCGCCAACCTTGATTGCAAAATTTAGTCGCCGCGGGGGATTGAACCATCAAGAGTATTATTCACCACTTTTTTGGTACTACTAAAACCGTTCAGCGAAAACGAAACATGGTTTTGTGGTCCATACATGCGTCCCTACAAAAAACCGTTTGAAAAAGCGCGGCTTGCCCTGAAAGACCCCCTTGTAAGTCAGCACAATACTAACTTATCACAGAAATGGGAACTTTTCCCTGGAGGAATCACTGCATGAATTTTTCGCAATTTTTCTACCGGTACTGATTTCTGTTGCATGCATGTAGCTTGATAGTTCTGATTTATGGACGCACTAAGGCCTACCGGATACACGAAAAAGAAAAGAATCAATTGTTATGAACAAGCCAACGTACATATGGCAAGGCTAATAGCTAGATATGTATGTTGCGATTTAATGATGAGAGAATGATTGGATCCCGTGCGGCTAGCAGAATAACAGCCAGGCCCAAAGTAGTGCACGACTGCTTGACGCAATGAGAACCTGTGTGTCCGACGAGGAGCCGTTGCAAAATTTACTCGAACTTTAACTCGACTCTGCCGAGACTTCATCGCAGTGGCATATAGTTATAGAGACAAAACCCCGCACTTGATTAGAATCAGTTATTGATCATGGGAAACACAAGTTACAAAGCGATTCCAGGAGGGCTCGACGTAACAAAAAAATCTTCAAAAAGACTTCAAATCGGGTTAGATTCCTAACGTGTTCTCGATACACACGCTGATCCCAACGCTTGATAGCTCCCACACTTGCTGTTGATTTTTCAGGATGCAACCCTTCTTCGAAGTACGACGATGTGAGCGACAGGGAAGGGTTCAATGTAAATTTTCGCTAAGTAAGCAAAATTTTGTGCTGTCTTCACCCTTTCTATCATATACGTTGATTACACCTCGAAACTGCTCATTATCAAGTATTCTGTAGCTCAATCAGCCTCACAGGCACACTGCACTATAAGGTCGTTAAAAGGCACACTGCACTATAAGGTCGTTAAACAGCCGAGACGCTGAAGAGGTGCTCAGATGCTAGAAAAGATAAAATGTGACATGGGAAATTTCGAAATATGATACTTACTGACCCAAGCCTGGCAGGCCTGTGGGCCTAGCAATTTAGCTTCTCTGAAGGAGCTGCGTTTGCCTCTCTATATTCACTCGTCGTTGTCAAGATCGGTCTGGGTTCGGCGCGAACTCATACAGTTCTGAGTCAACGGCGAAAGGGATCTTAATTTAAAGGTCTTTGCTTGTCATCGGGTTTATTTCCAGCTTATATCAGGTCACTATCTCATATCGGTACTACACTACCGCATTCTCTGATCAACAACCTGCGGGCAAGGCAAGCAAGTAGTAAACAATCAGGTTCCGTCACCAACACAGATATTCGGCTGATCTAGATCTGGTGTCATCCAATCTTGACGGCAGTGTAATAAGATTTTTTCCACTTTCAATTCCACTTAAGGTCTATGAAGTAATCTGGCTAAACGAACCGCTTTGTGTTTCTGAGAAGAATGTGTTGTACGAGGCATCCTCCACACCTTGCGTTTTGTCCGCAGGCATGATTCCATCAGGCTGAAATTACAAATAAATTCTACCAAAACACAACGATAAATTCACCATAACTGTTTCATTTGTCGACTTCAAACCATTTGGCTAAAAAGAGAACTGTAAATATTATAGGATTTCAACAATCCTTATCATGGATGGCTTCGAATTTTTCATTGTTTACACGTACAAAAACAACCCCTGTTCAATGGTTGTTTTGCAACCGGCCGTCCACTTTC